ATCCTTCACTATTTATTATGGATTTAGCAATGCATAAACTTCCTATATCAGAAAAACAAATTTTGTGTGTGTGTGTGTGTGTGTGTGTGCTTAACCCTTTCTCTGCTGGTCACGCTCTTTTTCTTTTATCCCTTCACTATTTATTATGGATTCAGCAATGCATAAACTTCCTATATCAGAAAAACAAATCCACAGAACCTCAAGTCAGCTATTAACTACCACAGCGCCACTAAGCCAATTCAGCTAATTGTGCACCATAACCCATCCCAACACCTTCCAGGCAGTCAAGGATGAGGAAGGAGGGGGGGGGGACACAAAAGTGCAGTCCAGCAGGTCCTGAAGCACCAGACTGGAAATGACTCTTACTCCAAACATTTTGTACCCAAGTTCTTGGCAACGTTCCGTACCCGGCAACAAGCCACAAACTCGGCTGCAATGAGGGGGAGGCTCCTTAGAGCAGCGGGAAAGACCTCAAGAGTTCCCCCCCCCAATCCAGGCCTCCCCAGGAGCAGGCAGGGGCCTCTGGGATGCCACAACCAAGCCACGATGCTCAGTGTGTCCACACCGTTCTCCTTCTGCAAGACGAAATTAGAAAGCTGCAACAGCCGAAATGTCGTGTCACCAAACGTGGAAGCTCAGCAGGCCACTATTCTGCCACTGTTCCTGCCTTGGAGCCAGGCCCCCATTAGAGGAGCTGCAGGATCAGACCCCCGAGCCCCTCTCCCCGTGCCTGCCTGAAAGCTCAGATGAAAAGAACCGGCCTGTTGCGCAGGGATTTGGCTGGCACAGGCCTGAAGGGGAGCCAAGTGCTTCCAGCTCCCCCTCCCCACCCTGTCCAAACACGTTTGGGACTCTCCAGGCCGCTGGACGGGCGATTTAAGGAGCAGAGTCCTCAGCCGCCGGCTGGCCGGCTGCCTGGCTTACCCAGAGCCACCTTAAATGGCCTTGGCCGCCTTCTGGTTGGTGTCCAATGGGGACCTCCTGACTCCCCTGGAAAGAGGCAAGCAGTGGGGTGCAGATGTGGGAGTGGAAGATCCCATCTTTGGCCAAACGGAGACGCCTCTTGGCTCTCGGGACCCGTCCATTTCTTTGGGGTTTTTCTCCCACTTCACCTGCTCTTTTCCGACATTCCAAGATGTTGCTAGTTCTCGCCCTCTGCCAAGCTCTTTCCCAAGCCCTGGCTGCGAGTGGGGGTAAGTGGCGTTTTTTGTTTCTTTTTTCCACCCAGTCCTTTGTTTCTTCACAGGGCCCTCTGCCATTCTCCAGGGGGACCCACTGCAATTAGGCAGCTGGGGGGGGGGGAGAGGAGGGCTTTTCTGGCAGCTTGAATGGACACAACAATGCAGCTACCCCTGGTGACCACTCCGAGCTGCTCAAGCATTTTAATTTATTTATTTTTTTTAAAAAAAGACGCTTATTTGTTTCTCTGAAAGCGAGTGAGTCCATTCTCAGATTAATCGTTTGGACGGAGCGCTGGCGAAAAAGTTTACAAACAACTCCGCTCTTTCTCCTCTTTGGGGGGGAGGAAGGCTCGCAGAGGGCCTGCCCTCCTCGTTCCTCTTCTGCTCGGTTAGGACTCCCAGAAGTTGCAATGCCTGCAGGCGCTCACAATGGCTTCTAGAATGATCTATCAGCCTTTCACTTGTAAGACAGAAAGAAGCTGAAAATACTCTGATCAAATGGGAGAGTAACAATCTCTGGAGAAATATTTACAAATAAACTGCCTAAGAGCAGAAGCAGTAACATTATTTTGGAAAGTTAAGTTTCAAAGAAGGGGAACGAGTGAGGAAAACAGAGTAATAAGAAAGGAATAAAATTTTTTACAGAATATAATCATTTGTAACAGAGAAGATTTCAGGTGGGGAATTAGCAGGAGTCTGTCCTGGGAGCTTTGAAAGCTAATCCAGAGGTGCTTTTTCCAAAAGGCAACTGGACTTTTTAAGAACTGAAGAAGCTTCTTGGCTAAGAAGTGAAACATTTTCAAGGGGAAGAAAAAACCCAAGAAAGTCCAGCTGACTTTTGGAAAAAGCAGCTTTGGGACAGCCTGGGTGACTGAGAATCTCCATAGTCATTTGAAGGCTACCAGATTTCTGCCCAAGGTTTTTGGGTGCAGAGTGGTCTTCATCCGCTCCATCAATCGTCCTCAACTCTCTTTCGCTCTACGGCATAATCTGCTTTCCGTAGCTCGTGGACTCAGCCACTGCAGTCTAGGCTGGAACTAGAGGGGCAAAAAGCCACGGTCTCCAGTTGGGTCTAAATGGGGGCGTCAAGACCCAAACAGAGAGGCCGCCGGGTGCTGGGCTAGACCCCCCAAGAGACAAGGAGAGAACCTGGGGGAATCTCAGCTCTGGGACTCCTCTCAGATCTTAAGCGACAACTGGCTCCCGAGCTCTGGGGAGGAGGCCAAGCACACATCTTCACGCCACCAGCCGGAATAAAATTAGCAGCAGCTCACGAGCCTTCAGGAGGTGACATGTCTGCTCACGGCCAGCTGCCCTTTTTTGGGATGGAAGAATCCAGTCTCTTTTCTCTAGTGTATCAACTCAGGTTTCATCCTTTCAAAAGAGAGAAAGAGGCTGTCCAACGTAAATAAAACACAGCCCCTTATTTCAAAGGTCTGATCGGAGACTGGCCTTGCAGCCCCCGCTGGCCGTGCTCCTTTAGAGCCCTGGAGATTAGCTGATCTTTATCCAAAGCTCCTTTCTGAAATAAAGTGCAGAATTCCAGCAGAGGGGAGATCGCAGATCAGAATATCTATCGCGCCTTGGCTGGGGACGGATGGAGACAGTGGGGCCCGTTCCGTTAAGAGCAGGGCTCCCACGGACACAGCCAAGCCACCTCTTGTCAAGCTAGAAGGGAACAATCGCTCTCACATCCCTGACTGGGGCAAGGTCACCTCGCAGTCTGTTGTGGAAAGGAGTGTGGGATCCAGAGGGGCTCTTCTCCCCTTGTGAGGGATCCAGCCCTGCCTTGTAGCTCACAGGTGGGTTTCTTTGCTATGGGCTCCTCCTGCCAGGCAGAAGTGCCCCACATCTGGAGTTGTCAGCCACCAAGAATCTCTTCCTCTCCCCTTCTGCTCCAGGTTCCCACTGGACATACGAAGGTAAGGAGAAACAGCTACAAGCAATATTCTTGCTCCGCTCGTCGGAATTGCGAACGCAGCTGCAAAGTCGGGAGGGGATGTCCAAACGCGCCTCTTCGCTGACAAGTCCTTCCGGTGCTTCAGAAAGGCCCTTTGGGGGTCTCCAGTTGGAAAGAAAGGCTTTGGAACAGACGCTTCCGGAATAGGGGGCAAAACATTTTGTGAGAGGAGGGGTGGGCCTTTCTGCTCCCCAGATCCCTAGGCCCTTTTCTCTTTTCCCAGGCTCCGACGGGCAGACGCACTGGCCAGAGAGATATCCAGACTGCGGCTGGCAGGCTCAGTCACCCCTTGATATCCAGACAGACTTGGTCCAGTATGACCCCTCTCTGCCCCCCATTGAGCCAGAGGGGTACCGAGACCCTGGGAGCAGCTCCCTGACCCTGAGCAATAACGGACACACAGGTGAGAACGTTCACAGAAGGTCTGCTTGAGAAGACAATGGTTCTTCTGTCTTCCCCACACCTTGAGGACTAGTAACTCTAGAAAGAGCACCATACCACAGATCTGTTTTGTGACCGTGTTCCTCCTCCCCACTGGCTGCAAGCTGAGGCTCCTTGCTCTCTGCCTCCACAGTGCAACTCTCCCTCCCCGAGAAGCTGCGCCTGCACGGCCTGCCCAGCATCTACTCAGCAGTGCAGCTGCACTTCCACTGGGGCAGCAGCAACAGCCGGGCCGGGGGCTCTGAGCACCGCGTGGACGGCCAGGCCTTCCCAGCAGAGGTAAGCCAGCTACGGGGCAGCACAGGCAGCCCCGGACGGGCCCCTTGCTGGGGCACAAACGGTGGCTGGATTGGCCCAAGGGTCCAACTCCTTGGACCGAGGTTGAGAACAGAGCTGGAGTTATCTGGGGATTGCAACCCCCAGAATCCTCATCAAGGCTGGCTGGGAATTCTGGGGCCTTGCAGATTTTCCTGTCCGGAAAGCCCAGTTTAAGCAGCCCTCCCCTGTACCCAAGTCCAGGAGCCACTTATCTGTACCCATCTTGCATGGACTGGTCCAGACCACTCCAGTATCCATGGCCCCCAAAGGCCGTGGGACTCTGGCCCCGTGGGTCCTGCTGAGACGTACGCCCGGTCACATCATCCGTGAAACTCAGCTCTCAGTTGCGTCCCCTCCTTCGTCACTGGCGTGTTGTAATTTCTCTTTTCTCTGTAATGAATGGAACAGCGCTCTCTCCTCGGGGATTGAGAAGGAACAGAGCTGTTTCTCCTACTGCCCGCAGGAAGAAATCCCAACTCCACCACATTTCAATAAAGTCACGAAAACTCTTCCTCCCTCCCTTGCTTTAATTCTTTGTCCTCACCCTCAGGTTCATGTGGTCCACTTCAACTCAGAGAAATATGCCAACCTGAGCGTGGCCAAACACCAACCGGATGGGCTGGCGGTGCTGGGCATTTTCCTGGAGGTGAGCTTCTGCTGGGTGCAGATAGTGCCATGGTCATTGTGCAGAACAGTCAAGCATTTCCTGGGATCCCTCCCTGCTCCCTTACGCCAGACATGTGTGATGCTGCTTTCCTGAATAGAAACTGCCTCCCTAGTAAAGCTTCAGTTACGCTGCCAAGCAAACAGTGACAACCATTCATTTAGTCGCCTTCTCCGATCCCTTGATCCTAATTTCTTTTCTCTCTCTTCTGTGTTAAAACTTCTCCTCTGCTCCACGTGAAGCAAATTATGCATCCGCAGGCACTGTGCATTTGGGGAGAGGGGGGGGAAGGAGGCGAAGAATGAGAGCCAGCACTGATCAACAGAGAGAAGTCATTTCTTCATTGCATCTGGCAGGTTGACAGTGTGGAGAATCCTGCCTACAACCACATCTTGGACCGTCTGGACAGCATCCTTTATGCAGGTCTGTTGGGATAGGGAGGGGCTGCAAGGGCTGGCGCGGGGGGGGGGAGGGGGAGAGACCAAAAGCACAAGAGAGAGAGAGTGGAACTGCCAGCAGAGTCCCTGAAATCCAAGCCGCAGCGAGTAATTTGGGCGCCTGAGAAGGATCAAAACACGTCACTTTCCCCAGACACTTTGCAATTTTGCTTCTTAAAACACACATCCGTTTTACAGTAAGAGGGAAAAACAAAATATTCAGGATCGTTAATTCCTTGGAGGGGGGAAGTGCCGGAAAAGAGATTTTATATTCCCAGTGGTTCTCAGTAGTGAGATTCTTCTGCTAGTCCAGCATCTCAGAAGCAAACACTTTAATGCCCATCCACCGGGGAGCTGCTCTGGAGAAGGGCCACTGTGGCCCCTGCCTGTTTCTTGGAGCTGGAGGGCCAGACTGGACAGTCCTCCAGCCTCGGGCGCAACAGAAAGGCTCCCAAAAGCCAGCCCTGGACTCTCTTCCCACCCACCCAACCCCCCGCACCTCATTCCGTTTTTCTCTTTCTGGTTTCCCACCTCCTAAAACTCACCAGAGCAAGAAATCACCGTTGCTCCCTTCAGTGTGCGAGAGCTGCTGCCGGCACATCTGGGCCACTACTACCGCTACAGTGGTTCACTGACAACCCCGCCTTGCTATCAGAGTGTGTTGTGGACAGTTTTCCACCAGCCAGCCCGCATCTCTGCTGCTCAGGTAGAGCCTGAAAGATGAAGCTCATCTTTTTAAGTTTAGGCAAAAGGCCTGCATGTTGGGGGGGGGAGGGCAGCTGTTGGGAGAATGGCTCTCATTAGCCAATAGAAATAGGGCAGTGATGGCGAACCTTTTAGAGTGCCCAAAGTGCAACCCAAAACCCACTTATGCATCGTCGAGTGCCGGTGGGTGTGGCCCATTGGCTGGGTGTGGCCAATTGGGTGGGCGTGGCTGCGGTGGTAACGGCAGACTGGGTGGGACTAAAAAGTTCAATCAATCAATTCCAACTTTGCAAGATCTTTTTTTTTTCCTGCGAGAAGTTGAAATTGATTGATTGAACTTTTTTTTTTTTTTTGCACACGGCGGCGGAGGCCTAAAGCGAAAAGGTTTTATAAAACCCAGCTGAAGGCCTAGGACTGGGGCGACGGCGCGCGTGCCCAGAGAGAGGGCTCCGAGTGCCGCCTCTGGCACCCGTGCCATAGGTTCGCCACCACTGAAATAAGGGGTAACATCCAGCAGTAGTGGAGAGGGGCGATACGCCAATTCCTCTAGAGGAAACTGTAGTACAGGGGTAGTCAACCTTGGCTTTTTTTTATAACTCGTGGACTTCAACTCCCAGAATTCCTGAGCCAGCCTGGGAGTTGACGTCCACGAGTCATAAAAGAGCCAAGGTTGACTACCCCTGCGTGGAGTGACTGTCTTGACTCACATCTTGTCTAGTTGGAGAAGCTGCAGAAGTCGCTTTATTCTACAAAAGATGGGAAGACACCCTCAGAGTTGCTGGCCAGGAACTTCCGGGTGCCCCAGTTCTTGAACCGACGCGTGGTCTCCTCATCCTTTCCCGTGGGTGAGTACACAGTCCTTGGGTGTTTATGTGCATGGACTCAGGTGTAGAGATAGGGGGACGCTGCCCTCTGGTGGACACATTTGGCCCAGCACCAAATCCATGGCTGGTGCAATAAAGATCATGCAGAAAAAAAAGTGTGTGTATGTGGGGGGGGGGGAGACAGGGAGGAGGAGGCAACTCTGCCCTTCAGAACGTTTCTCTCCTTTCCCTTCTAGGGCCGTCTGGATACTCTGCAGGTGTGACTCCCCTCCCGTGATGCTTGCTCAAGGGGGCCGGGCTAGCTTGCTCAAGCCAGCTAGCCAAGCTGCAGTGGTGGTGGAGGAGGACCGGAGCCTGCCAACCCAGTTTTGCCCTAGGGCCGGAGGAGGAGGAGGAGGAGGAGGAGGAGGAGGAGGAGGAGGAGGAGGAGGAGAGCTGACCGTGGGTGGGGGAGAGGAGGGGTTTCTGTCATTCAGAACTTCCAATAATCATGCAAAGAAAATGGGAAAGTCTGACTGCCCTTTCTGGAGTTCTAGAACAACGTCTATTATGGTAGTAAATGTTTTTTTAGCCACGCACTTCCTGGCTCACACCTCAGTTTCTTCACTGCCCTAGTCCTCAAAAGAGGAAGTGCATCCCATTTTTCAACTTGGGGTGTATCCATCTCCCCCACCCCATCACCTTTTTAATAGGGCCTCTTTTCTCTTTCCAGGTGAGATCATTGCCATCATTGTCGCAGTGCTCTTGGGCTGTCTGGGGGTCTTCCTCGCTGGCTGGATTTTGGCAAAGAGAACCCGGTGAATGTGGGACCCCAATCCCGGTTCCTGCCAAATTGCATCGCGGCGCCAGCGTAAGGGAGGCTCCCGCAAGCCGTTCAAATGATCCTTTCCCCCACCCCATTCCTTCCCACGTGGAGTACCAAGAATGTCAAAACAGAGAATTTCACTGGAAAAAGGAACACAATAGGTATTTATTAAACTTCCTCCTGACCCATCGCGAGCTTTGTGTTTTTCTACTTTATTGAACAACAATGGCAGGAGCAAAGGGCACTGCAGAAACCTAACACACCAGGACAAGACTTCCTCCTGCAGCCCTGCTGTCTTTCCGGTTCTTTGCGGAAGCCACAAGTATTTAGGCTGGGGGAGGAGAAAGGGGGAGAAAACCAGCAAAATTGGTCTGGAGAAGCAACCAGCCCAACCAACATCCCTCTCCTGCCACACTACCAGCAGGGTCAGGAAGAGGCAGTTGGCATGTGGGAAGGGGGGGTTTCTAAGACAATCCGCAGCACCATCGAGATCCTCTGCCCCCCCCCAGTTCCTTTATCGTTCTAAGCACAAAGCTACTGTTGTGCCTCGTGTCAATTTCCACGCTTGACAAAGGAGAAGAAGCCATGGGAATCCCATGGCCCAGGTTGAATATCTGGGCCGGTCTCACTCAGTGTTCAAAATCCCACTCAACAAAAACACAACTGCTACCTTCACAAAACCAGCTGTGCTAAGACAAGGGCTGGCTTCTCAAAACACCTGGGTGACAAAACCACTCAGCCGTCTTTGAGTCGAGACAAAACACGCTGTGCAAACCCAGCTTTTGAGCTTCAGCAGGCTTTTATCCAGGGGCAGAAGCAGAAGTCTAGGTCCAGAAAAGGGCCCCACAGCGCGAGATGCCTTTGTGTGCCACCCACAGGCAGGGCTTGCTTTAGTCTCTGCCCGAGGTGACGCCGCACAATAACAGTTACCAGATTATTTCTTTTTATTAACGGCACTACGGGCCAACTCAGAAAAGGATTTAGGGCTCAACATTAAAAGAAAGAAAGTAGGACTGGGAAATATATACACCCTTCTGAGATTCGAACCTGGGCTATCTGCATGTTAGGCAGATGTATTAACCTCTAGGCCACAGTCTCTTTCTCACTTTGTCAGCTATGAGACAGGGGAGAAGAATTATCTTTGAGTTTGGTGCACCCTGTCGGCCCAAATATGGGAGAAAGGAGATAATATATATATAAAAAATAGAGCAAGAAAGGGCCTTTTGTGTGTCCCTACAGATACAGCGGCACCTCCTAGCCAGCAGATGGTGCGCTTGCGCCTCACCAGGTCCAGTGCCCCATACACCGGATTCCCCAGTGGATGAAGGAAAAGTTCAGGCTGAGAACAAAGGGATTTTGTTGGCACATGGAGAGCTCAGCCATAGCCCACAAAACCTCCGGCCGTGTTACGAATCCAGCGGAATCCACTAGGGAACACGGTCTGGGAGTCGTTCATCGTAAGGGACTGGGGCTTGCTCAGCTCTCCAGGAGAACCCGAGTGTCCATCTTCCAGGGCAAAAAACAGAAGCAAAGGAAAACAAGCAGAGTTGGAGGAAGGGGTTAGGGTTCCCAGCCACCAGCCAAGGCACAGAGTTAGCCTTCCTGCCCTCCAAGCCATCTTTGGGGCCAAGGAGCGTCTTCTGCCTTCCCAGGGCCAGGCAGGAGCTTCAATCATCTGATCAGCTCTGGAGCCCTTGTCCCAGATGAAGAGCCATGCCCGGTGGTGTGGAGATTATCTCATCTTTTCTAGGAAGCATCCGACTGCCAGGATCCAAGGGGCAGGGGCTCAGTCCTCCGTAGGGAGCTGCAGCTCAGAATACACCATAACGTGGCCGTTCTCTTTCTCTCTGCCTACACAGAAGGACAGAATCATTAGCCTGCGAGTAAGCCTCCCGCGTTCGGATTACCTCCCATCCGGCTTCTAGCAGAGCAGATGGAATAGGATGGGCAATGGAGAAGGGAGACCCCACCCTGTACTCCTCAACTGCGCTGCACCCCAGATGCAGAGCTTTCTGCTCATCCTCCCTCAGCCACTTTTGAGGGAACAATGAACGGCCTTCCCAGGATTCTTGCTCTTTCTTCTCCTTCCCCCTTCCTTCCCTTTTCTCCAAACCCCACAAAAGTCATGGCTCTCACAGGAGAGGCAGGCCAGGATGTTGCGCAGCGAACCGCCAGCTGTGAAAAAGGCCCACACCCCTGTTGAGACGGTGATCAGGAAGATGGGAATAAGGCTTGCTTCATAGTATGGGTTCAGGAATGTCTGTGGCGAGAAAACAAGAGGGGATTTCAGAGTCTGCAGTCATTCCCCCACCCACCCAATCCCTCCATCTGCCTTTGTACTGGAGGACTTGGTCCCGTCTGCTAAGTGGCCCACTTTGTCCCAAATGCAGCGCAAATGCAGGGTACCATTCCCTACTGCTGGGGAAGAACAGCCCCTTTGTGTCTCCAAGGGAACGAAGGAGAATAAAGCTATTTTAACTATGCTCTGTTCAAGGAGCTACATTCCTTTGGCTCCCATGATTCAGTAAGGTATAAACCATGGCTTACAACCACAATTGTCTGGAAGTCCAAAAGCTGGTTATCTTTTCCATGTTTTCAGACATTTCAAAAGTCAAGAGACAACTGGGTCAGCATCTTTTGAAACTCCTCATCCTGAGCAATCGCACAGCAGTCTTCTGAAGGCTTCAACCAGCATTTTATGTGTTTGGCTTTTCTCCTTCTAATCCAATTGACCTATTTTGAGGCTATCCCACAAAAAAAGCTTTTTCCTGTTGCAAGTTTTTTTATCTTCTGTGACTTCAAGTTTGATCATGAGATTACTCCATGCTGAAATATAATAGAAGCTTGCTCCGTCCGGTAGTAAAGCCCCAGGGATCATTCCTGAACGGATTCTGCATACAAGTGCTTAACAGACCAGAACTTTCGGGTATGTTGGGCTATTGGTTAACCCTTCCCCCTTCCCCAGAAAGAATGGGTGGTGCGATCTCTTGTCTTGGAGAAAGCCAATCTGAGAAAGGTAGAAGCCCAGTGCTGCTTTCTTAAGAGGAGAACCAGATCTAACGTACACTTTAGCTCAAATCCTGGGAAAATCCGATCTGCTTCTAGATCTACTCACCAGCCCAGATATCACCAAGTGGCTGACAACCACCAGGGCCAGCTTCCAGTAGCGCCTCCTCTCACAGGCATCAAAGAAAACGACCCCCCAGAACGTGTGTAAGAAAACCAGGGCCATGGTCAGGAAAGCTGGAACGAGAAGCCGAGAAAGGGAAATTCAGCTACACGACATGCCTGAGTTTGTAGGAAGTCTGAGATGGCCCAGAGTACAGAATCGCATCCAAACACAGCAAAACGAGACCTCGTCAGACAAGCACATTCATATAAAAATGCCTAACAAAAGGATTAGGGAAACATTAGAAAACTGAAAAAATAGTTTATTGTAAATGTCTCTGGAGATTCTCAATCATGGCTGTCCCAAAAGTGCTTTATTTTTTCAAAAGGCAACTGGACTTTCTTGGGGTTTTTTTTTCTTTCTTTGAGAATGGATCCAAGAAACTGGATCTCATCCTCAGAATGGAAGAAATTTCTTGGATGCGAAACAAAACATTTTCAAAGAAAGGGGGGAAAAAGTCCAATTGCCTTTTTTGGGGGGACACCTTGGAGACGAGAGCATTTTCTTAAGGAAAGCCTTGGGATTTTTTTTTCACACCTGTCACAACAAAATGCTTTTTCTATTTCGACAAACATCCCACCCCTGGAGAAGCAGGCCTGAAGAAGCGGTTATGCCAAAAAGTTTTATAGATTCCTCCCTGCATCAAATCCTGTCTCTCGGGGGAGGCCCTGCCTTTCTGTAGCCTCGCCAGCTGCATCTCATACTTTTTTCTGATTCTAAAACGTTTGAAAATGCCTCTTGATAAAACACCAGAAGGGACACACCAGAAAAGCCACACATAAAAGCCAGTCTTCTTCTTGGTTTTTTTTTTAAAGAAATGTTTATTCGGGCAATCTCTCCCCTCCCACCACAAAAGGTCCTACCTGAAGCAATGAAGTAATAGGGCGAATCCCCGTGGATGCCAACTGTGCCGGGACCAATGGAATCTGCAAGGATGTTAATGGCGGAGAAGACGCCGCTGATGATTCCAAAGGAGAGGCCTGACACTACCGGTGGATGGAAAATCATAGTGGAAAAACATTTGAAATGGTTTGCCCAACTTAGCGGCAACCCCACAGAGTGAGTCTCCTCAGGGTGCCGTCGGCCAAGCAATGTCGGCTGGCGACCCCCAGGGGGAGGGCCTTCTCTGTGGGTGCCCCCACCCTCTGGAACGAACTACCCCCCGAGATCCGGACGATTCCGGATCTCCTTACTTTCCGCCGCGCCCTCAAGACATGGCTTTTCCAGCAAGCGGGCCTGGCCTAGGGAGGATTTTAAATCGG